TCTAACCCCGGATTCGGGGTCGCCATGGCTAAAAACCCTTACATAACCTCTTCTCCTGCCTTTATACATCAACTAACGGGCGAAGTCGACCGTTTTTCACCCTCTCAATTCTTGGGCGCACCTGGCTCGAATCCGTGTCGGGTTCATTCATTCATTTTTCTCCTTCCTCGACACTCTCTGTGCACTAATCTGTCTTACTAACCTCTATCCTACTAACTTATCACAAGAAACGACCTTGGATTTGAGGTCACCCACGTTCAAAACCCCCGCGCACGATTCTATGAAGGAATGGGCGTGCTATAGCTTCTTCTACCTCCACCATAATTGTTCCCGCCATCGCTACACCATCGCGCACCATTTTCTCTTCTACTACCTATTTTACCAACCCATCGTCCGAACTGACGCCGCGATCGAACTCGCCCTACTCTAAACCCCTGGTCTTCGTTCTTACCTTGCTCGATTCCATCAGGAATCGAGCCCACTACTCACTTCTGACTGCGCCTGGCTTAGATCCTCACCATCTCCGCTGCGAATGCACCCCGGCGTGCCTCGTCATCCAAATTAATTCGCCCTCCTTCCCCTCTCTCAATCCGCGCTGCCCGTTCCTACTGCACTATTTAGCGCTCGTTGCCCATTACTTTGCTCACTCCCTCTCAGACTCCGGTATGCCGCGCGGCCGGACAGTATCCACTTCTCAAAACAGTCGACTTTCGGCCCCGCCTCCAATTTATGCGTGTCACCCGCGAGCAGGGGCCACGCCGATCTTCTCTGTATCGTTCCAATTTTAACAGATGTCCCGAAGGACTCGATCAAGGCAATACCCCGTAGTGGCGCCAAAGGCCACACGACCCCTCTACTCCTGGCAGTGCTACTTCGCGCGGACTTGGCCTCCTTTTGAGGCCGGTTCAGGCGGGCATTTCCGGCACATACGGCCAGCTTCAACAACTAGTGCCCCGGCCCCCCCTTTTTTTAACCTTATCGCTTATGCGTCTGTCTCCTTTTCTCGTCCGGGTTCACTCCTGGACTTATGAGTGCTACGCAGTGGCCCAGATGGCCACTCCAGCGTTCTGCGCCCGATCGCACGGCCGTGCGGCACACTGTCGCGGCGGTATTAACCACAAGCCTCCGGCACTGCCCAGGTAGGCACCCCCTGACCGTCGCTTCGTACCCAAGTCCTGTCATCCGGACTCAAACACAGGTCTGTATTTCAACAGTTCATGGGCGTGCCCACAGAGCTCGGCTCTTGAGTCCCGTATCACACCCTTTGTGTCGCGTCCTAGGCAAAACGGGGCGCGGTTAAGGTAGTTCCTACGCAGCCACGAACACAGTCTGCAATTGCACTTCGGGCAACCTCGCGGATACAACACTCTCCACGCGACCCTATATCGCGTCCAGAAGCGGGACGCGAGTACGAGGATGAAACCTAGAACAAAAATTAACATGGGGTATATATAAAAAAAATTAATAACGAACCAAAAACGGAAAAAAGGGAGGACCCTGTGGATCGGGCCTGCCGCTGCACTTACGAAGAAAACCGAGGGGGATAGCCCTTCCGGGCCCTCCACCCCTTCGGTTTTGCTCCATGCCGCTCCGCTGCTGCTGCGCCAACGCCCGCTGGCCTCGATCCCTGAACCTCCGTAATGTCAGCCCAATGTCGTAACCTATAGGGCTAAGCCCAAGCCTGATATCAATGGGCTCGAATCTCCTAATAAAGAGGTAGCGCCCGGCTCTCGGGGCCAAGGAAACACCCTATGTCACTTTCCGGCCCACACTCGCATAGAAGGTCACCCAGAACTCGCATCGGCCTACCGGCCTCGCCGCGGCTACCCGTCATTAGCCAAATCCATCAGATCCTATCATCTTGATTCCGCGTAAGTCCACATAGGCTCATTGGACCGTCCACCGTGCCATGCGGAACCAGAAAAAAAGAGCACCCATAGGTTAGTCAGTTTAATCAAAACAAACAACTGTTATAATGAAGCACGTCGACCGGAATTCACGCCACGTCTCCTGTTGCGACCAAAGAGGGAAACAAATCACGCGCGTCTCAAACCTGCGCGCCCACACACTCTCTAATTCTAGATGTTACCGCCGAATCTTTGGTTCATGAACCCCTGCGACTCGCGGGGTCTTCCCATTAATTATGAATCGACCCATTTCTCTGTCAACTGCAAAAACCCAGTGCGAGTACCCTTGTAAGGGTATCCGCACCGACAACTTACCGGACCATAATAAGCGACGCCCCCGTCGCTTACCGGACCATATTAAGCGACTCCCTCGTCGCTTCGCAAAATTGAAAGACTAGTATCCGATTACCCAAAATGCTGACGAAAATAGGGACCAATCCGATTAGCTGACAGACCGGAGGTGGAGGTTTCCATCAAAACACGCCTTTGCAACTATATGTTGCGAGGGCTCCAATCTAGGTCCCCATCGCCGCTGTCAATAGGATACTGACAGCATAAGTTTCAAAGGTCTTCCCAATTATCCTCTCACCCCGACCCTAGACAATCTTCGGCTTCTCGTTGGGTGTCCCTAGTCCTGGCTAAAACTAAGGACGCGGGCCCTAACCGAGACCTTTGAAGGCACGCTCGCCTTCCTTTCCAAGAAGTTCCTCACAATCAAATACACATATGCATATATACATAATCTCCACTCGGCTCTTTCTGCAGTTTAGTACAGAAAGGCCAGGTCTCCATCTTGGCCCACCATAGCCTGGCTGATTAGACCAGGACCACGGCCCACCTCGTTGTTATTTAGCGGCAGTACCCTCGCTGGTTGCGCAATGATAGGCTTTCCCCTGATAGCCATCCAATCAGGGCTTCCAAAAAGACTTGACTCTTACCTCGCGAAGCAATTTCCCTGGGGCGAGCAACTCCCCGTAAACTCTTGTCTTTGAACTAGCACAAGTGGTTAAACGAGACGTCTCAAAACAAAAATCACGGGCTTACTGCGAGGTTACGCAAGGGCCTGAAGGCATTTACCAACTCTCCCTCAAAAGGCATGGCATCCTTTGTACAATCACAAAACATAATCACCACCAGGTCTACAAGGCCGTGACCCCTGACTTGATCAGAGTCAGCAACCATCCATCGTGAGACATCTCTCGCCCTGTACCCATTGCAACCTTCTTAAACACTTCAAGCAAACGTGGCCCTTTTCGTCAGACTTTATCACTCATCAGACAACTTACCATGCCATTAATCAGTCCACCCACCTTTGGAGGTGAGTCTTCCAACAACCCAAAACCACCCCATTTTCCAAAAATCCAAGGGGATTTCACCACAAAACAAAACACCCCCTCTTCCAAAAATCACGAGTTGTCTCATCATGAAGCCAAACATCCCCCTTTTTCCAAAGATCTAAGGGGTTCTCATTATGGAATCACCACCACTGAGAGACCATCTTATGGGTCCTCGTCACAGCTTAAGCAGTCAACATTCACCATGATAAAGCATTCGGGTCTCAAAGATCCACAAATCCCTTAGGATCCTTACGATCATTCACAAACAGACTACACTCTCTCTTCTTATACTCTGCCCTATCCCCTGCCCGTAAGCAGGCCGCACGAGTATACCGAAGAATAGACAGTTTCACATAACTCACATCCATTAACATGAGATGCATCATGAACATCTCTCTGACAAAACCATCATCCGTCAATGTAAGAACCACATATGTGAGTGTGAGAGTGATCGTCATACACAAAGAATAGTTTTAAGAAAAAAATATCGATTTAATATTCTCTCAGGGATAAAAATGCCTCGCACACAAATGTGTCCAAGCCATAGCTCACTCGTCTCAAACAAATCCAACCCACAGTTGTACTACCCTCAGAATACATGATGGGTTTGTCTCTCAAAGGTCAGGGTGTAGGCTACCTAGAATATGTACACGCCCCATCTATCACGTCCTGGACCTCAAGATGACAAGCTCAGTAGAAGTCCAAATCCAAACCATCTATCAGATGCAAGTGAACATCTAAGCCTAAAGGATGTCATGTAATTCTAAGCTCGGGTCTTATAAACAACAATCCAATCATATAGGTAAACCAGTCCTACTCACTCATCTCCTCCTGGTTTTGCCTATATAGCTGAGCCCTACCCCCATCTGCCGATCTCTCCACTCTCCTGCCTTGTCTATCATACATCCTACCACCCTCCTCTGTAACTTTCCCTTCGGCCTAGTCCTGTAAAAATTTAGGACACTGCAAGGCTCGATGACCCTCCTTCGTGCAGAAGAAGCAGGATGTATCAAACCACTTCCTCGATTTCCTTTTCCCTCTTTGAGATCCTGGCGATGATGGCGCTTCGCTGGCCTCCCTGCTCAGCTCATGACTCTGAGGCATATCCAAAGGCTCCTCTGGTCTCACCTCCAATTCCTGGGTACTTGGCCCTGGTCGAACCCCAATCCCTTCTGGCCCATACTCAGGCGTGTCCAATCTCTGGGGCCTGCCCTCAATGGCACCCTCTGTCTCAATCCCCATCTCTCTCTCAAGAGGCTCCTCTATCCTCTATTCAGGCGAAAACAAACTCGCCTCCTCCTGCATAGGATGCACTGCTTCAAGAAGCACGTCCATGGATCCCTCTGTTGAGCCTTGAGTTGGCTCACTGCTAGACGGTGGTAGCCCGTCCTCAACTGCCAATGGCATGACTGGGCCCACTGCTACTATAGTCGCGAGCTCAGTAGGGGCTCTGAACTCGAAGGCCTCTCTCTCTGCCTCCCTCCTGGCGTTCGCCTCCTGAGGTTCTAGCATAACTCTCCCCATGGGTGACTCCTGGCAAGGCTCTGCTGCAGATGGTTGTCCTGGCAACCCCTGTCCTGGCTGCCTGAGCCTACCTCATCTCTCCCTGTCGGCTGCTCTCGGCGTTGTCCGCTCTCCCTTGAAGCTGCTGCCTCAAGTCCTCAATAATGGCAGTCTGACTAGCGACCAACGTCCTGAGCTCCTGGATCTCTACCCCCATCGTTTCCAGGCGTAGTCCATGACCTTCTTCCTTCGTGTTCTTCCCTGCCAGATCGCTTTCCATCAACAAGTATCAGTCGAAAGTTGTCTTGGGCAGGAACTTGATCTTGCGATCCAGCCTCTCTTCTGCTTTCCTTGCCACCCCGAATCCAGCTCTTGTTGGCGAAGGAAGCCCTTCCCCCCTTTGCTCCCAGAAGTCTCGCCACATCTCCTGGATTTCGGGGGCCTTAGCTAGCGCGCTGGGTGGCTGATCTAGAAGTGCCCCTGCCGCCTTCAACCTCTGCCTTTCCTGTTGTTGCTCCGGAAGTGCCCCCGCTGCCTCTAACCTCTGCCTCTCTTGCCATATCTCTTCTATTCTCCTACTTCCTCTCGCCCTCTTTTCTTCAGTTGTTTCACCAGCCGGTGCCCTCTCCCTCGTGCGATGGTCGATCCTCTTCGGGATCTCTGCCTCCACCTCCTTCTCAGGCTGGCACGGCTCCTGGCGCGGCTCTGCAGGTGTTGGCTCCTCCAGGTCTGGGTGCTCCAGGGCATGAGCTGCTAGGTGTCTGTCAATCAAGGCCAAGGCTTCTCTTCTCACGCTTGCGGTCTCTCTCCTCTTCTCTGCCCTCCTTCCTAGTGAGGAAGCCATCTCTTATGAAGGTAACGGGCCCTCCTCTCTCTTCGACTCCTCTGCTCTCTCGTGTGCGCTCCCAGGCGGACCTCCGAGTCTCAATCCCATAACCGACGTCCGAGGGGGTGTGTCCTCTCCAACCTTTATCACCTCCTTTCCGGCACGTCTCCCCTCATCACCCAGCCTCCTCTCTCGTTGAGTGTCTCAGGCCTCCTCTCGTGGTACCTCCTCTTGTGGCACCTCCTCTCGTGGCACCTCCTCTCGTGGTACCTCCTCTGCCTGTCCTCCACGCCCCTCGCCTCGAGGCGACGTTCCCCATCGAGAGACGTCCAGATGCGCCTCCGACTCTCTCAGCGGCCCCTCAGATGCTGGCGCCTCCTCCTGTGTGCGCATTGGCGACCTCCTCAATTCACCCTAAGTAGAATGATGAAACTCCACCAGTCCCAGCCCACACTCAGGATACGCCCCTCGCTCCTCAACCTCAGGCTCCGACTCCTCTTCTCTCCTAGCTAGGGCCTTCCGTCCCCCTCGAGATGGCCTTGCCTCACTGGGCTCAGGGTCCTTCTGCCTCCTGCTCCTTTTACGCCTCTCAACTCGGGGCCGAGGCGACTCTGGCCGTCGAAAGGCCTCCCTCAAGTGTGCCCTGCAGCTCTCCCAATACCGGGCCATATCTCTGATATGCCTAGCCAGTGGCCTCTCCGCCTTTCTGGTCCAGAGGGGTAGCGTCCTCGCCCAGTCATCTTTCGGTGTACCCTGTCTCTGCATGAACCACTCGAAGGCGGGGATAAAGTCCGCCGCATTTTGATCTCTAGGCGAATCGGCCTGCAATCAGGTCCCATAGGTGAGGGTCGTAACTCCTGCATCCTCATCTCCACCTCTGGCCTCGTCGTCGCCTCCCTACGGATCCGGGCAATGGGCTCCTCGAACCTGCCGGCTCCCCTCAATCTCTCAATCGCCTGGGCCACGGTCCAGCCCATACTCCTTGCATACTCCCAGAAACTGTCCAGGAATAGCTCGATGTCCCCATCATCGTACATCGGAGTACTCTCTCGATGGCGAGGCCCATGCCGCTCATATCCTCCTGAAGCTCCCAACGGCCTTCGTGGCGGCCGTGTCCCCTTCCCTCCTCTTAGCATGGTTGTCTTCGTAAAGTCAGACCTGCACAACAGGCGAAGGAGACAACAGGCACACATTGGGGTAAGCAAACAGGTGATAATCAAAGCAAGCTCAGACCAGACCATACTCATGCAACATTCAACCTATCTGACCTACACATCTTATCGCTTTTATTCTAAAGGAAGTCAAATCATCTCTCTCACCTCTTCTCTCGCCACAAATTTCTTCAGCCGCGTTCCAGATACCCAGTCCTTCCATTCAGTCCTGTTCAGCTCTTCGATCTGGTATGCTCCAAAATCTCCACACCACACGATTCGGTAGGGACCTAACCACCTCTTATCGAGCTTCCTGGACCATTGCTTCTCCAACGATGAATCGTATAGGAGTACGACGTCCCCAACTGCCAAGGGTACTTTCCTCACTCGCGCAGACTGATCCCAGCGAGCCTTATCATCAATACGGCTTCTCTCCACTTGATTGGACGCCTCCTGGATCCTGTCCTTTATCGCCCCCACCTGATGCGCTCGGATATCGAGTAACTCTTCAAAAGACAGGTTGACTTCCAGATCCTGTCGCCTCCAGGTCTTTAGAAAACTCTCGATTGGGAAGGTGGCGTGCCTTTCATACCACAGCGTCGCCGGTGCGTACTTGGTGGATCTTCTCACCGTAATGTTCTCGACAAAGAATGTCGCCCTTAGGTACCTTGGCCATTGATTAGGCCTACCTTCGGTCCACTTAGCCGGGAGGTTCGTAATGGTACTATGCCCTCTCTCCACCGGAGCATTTGCCTGAGGGTGCGCGGTCGTGGTGTAGTTGGCTACTACACTATACCTTGATAGCAACTCTTGCACGTCCTGGCAGGTAAACTCCGATCCCATGTCCATTACGAACTCCCTGACGAAAGGATAACGCAGGTAGTACTCCTCGATGCAGCTAACCAAGATTGGCCCAGTCTTCGTACGAATGGCACGTCCGTCTACGAAGCCAGACACGTTATTGCGTGCATCGAAGATGTAGTTATAACCCTGATCCCCAAGCGGCATGAAAAGCAGATCGAGATGCACTGCAACCCCCACTTCTCGCTCTAACCTTGGATGTAACGGCTCTCCTTGCCTCAAACGAGATCTCTCCTGGCAGGGTACGCAAGATCGACAGAACTTCCCAATCATGTCCATCATTCCACTCAGTAGCACAACTCACTTATTTTGGCGTATGTGGCATGTACTTCTCGATGCCCTCCTGCAATGCCATCATGAAGTGCTGCTATGACGTCAATCTGACGATTCCTACTGCAGACGACTCTCCTGGGATTCCATACTTCTCTTCTTACGAAAAGCTGGCCATCTCGCACCAAGTAGCACTGCATCATCCTCTGAGCCCTATCGCTCGCATCTCTAAGCCGCATTTCGCATGACAAAAGAAGTCCCAACTCCAGGTAGATCCCTTCATACTCCTCTGCACGAAAGACCTCTTTGATCTCACCCTCTTCAAACTCGTCGTCCTGGCTCTCGCGCACCTCGCCCTCATTACCCGCCGGATTCAACGAGCCTTCTTGATCGAGGCTTCCATGCCTTTCTACCTGGCCTGGCCCTTCCTCTATTGCCTTCATATCTTCCACTAGGCTATATGATCCAGCCAACGCCAACTTCATCATCCAATGAACATCTTTACCACCCCAGGGATCCTCTTCCTCAAAAGGCTTAACGACTAGCTCCGCCTTCCGTTCATACCCACTCGGCGCTTGCCAGATAGGATGTCCTACACACCTGAGCACTTGCGACGACCACTTGTTAATGTGGAGACGGACATCTTCCTCTTGATTCAAAAATCCATCAACTGGGGGCGTATTCTTCACCGCCTCTCCTTCTTGACTATCCCAGTTGATACGACTCAGCCCGTCCGCCCGGTTCTTGCTTCCAGGGATCCGTTCCAACTCGAAGTTAAACATCCAGATGTACGTCAACCACTTGGCAACTGTTGGATCCGATGGAACGTAATTCCTATGAGAGTAGGCTAGCGCAGTTGGGTCCAGTCTCAATATAAACCTCATGCCAAATATGTAGTTTCGGAAGATTCGCAGACAGTGGAGGACGGCAAGGGTCTCCCTTTTGAACTGAGAATAGTTCCTCTCAGTCGTACAGAGAGTCCGACTCTCAAACCTCAAAGGCCTTTCCTTTCCCTCCATGTCTGCCTGGATTAAAACCTCTCCTAAGGCAGTTGGTCCCACATCCGTTTCAACAATGAAGGATCTCGTTTCTGTGACGTCATAGTCTGGCGCCCCCAACACCAAACCCCCTTCTCGGAATTCTTCCTTCATTCTGGCCACCACCTCTTCCTGCTCTTTGCCCCAAATCCACTCCTGATCCTGACGAACTTACTTTCTCAGGTGCTCAGTCTTAGCGGCAAAGTTCTTGACGAATGCCCTCTAAAATCCGCACGCCCCAAGGAAGCTCCGGACATCAGTTATTGAGTAGAATGAAATTGACCACTCAGTAATCTTATTCATCTTCTTTACATCCGGTCGTCGGCCGTTCTCACTGCAGACGAACCCCAAGATAGTAGTTTCCCTCATGCAGTGTCTGGATTTGGCTCCGCTTGCCGTGAGGTTATGCTCCTCGAGCAGGCTCATGACTTTCTCGAGGTTCTGGATATGCTTCTTGACAAAACGTCTTACCCCCGGTAAAATCTCGTCACTCTCCTTCACTCTCGACCCTTTCACTGCCAAATCATCAATATATGGCTGAGTGATATGTGGGCTGACTGACTGCATAACCCGAATCATGGCCCGTTGGACCATCGCTACCCCATTGGTCCATCCTTGTGGAGCCACATTCATGTGGATTAGTCCTCGAGGCGTATGCATAGCTGTCACTGGCCTGTCTGGCGGATAGACCGGAAATTGGTCATATCCTGAGTAAAGGTCTATAAGCGAGATTATAGGGCTTCCAACACAGGATTCTGACAGCGCGTCTGCGTTGGGCAACCCTCCTTCATCCCGCACAGTCACCGCATTTAGCCTTTGTGGATCCTGCACCCACCGCAGCGTCCCGTTAGGCTCGATAAAACAAAACCACGGGGACACGTACGGCCCACTTGAGTAGTCGGCGATATGCGTACGTATCTTGCCATCGAGGTAGTCCACCACCTTCTTTTCCTCGTCAGGATTAGCATATTGCGCTCCTTTTAGGTTCCACAATTCGTGTGGCACGGTGTGGATGTGGATCATAGGTATTTTATCCACATCCAACCTGTCGCACTCCTCGTCGCTAAACGCATAAGCGCGATGCCTCTTCTTTATTAACTCCACCATCAAGGCTCGTTCGTGAGGCAATAGAAAGTCGGGCTCTCCTATGATCAGCTTCTCCCCGTTCCCTTCTTTGATACGGCATGGCCGTGCTGAAGCTTTCTCCTTCATCCGCCGTATCAACCCCCGCTCTCGTTCATAGTACACCTCCTCGTCCTCAGTAACGAGGACAGGGACTGAGCGACACTTCTGGTCTACCGTCTTGCACCGCCTTTGGGAACCCTGCTTGAGCCGCCCTAAAAAAAAAGCCGACTCACAGATTGCGCCTGCATTATCGCCGGGTTTCTCCTGCCATCCGGAAGACGATATACCAGCTTCAATCTCCCTGCCTCGGGGCATTCCAGGACCTGCGCCCTCAATGTCTGAATGGCATCTGGTTTCGCCATCTCATGCGCGGCCACCAAATCCATGGTCTTCCCCACGTCCGACAAGCTGAGGGAGAATGCTTCAATCCTCTCTTCCTCTTCTGGCTCTGCCCGGAGCCTCTGGCGCTCGTCCTCCGACTCCTCAATTGTGAAAGACCCTGGATTGGGCCGGTTCCTTATGCTTTTTGGCCCTGTATTCCTGCAGGTGATGACTTCATAATTTCCGCAGGCAGGGTCACACAAGAGAAGGATCAGAGTCCCATCATGCTTATTAAATATCACCATCTCTGTCCTGCTCAGAAAGGATCTCCCCAAAAGAATCCCGTCATCCACGTCCGGCATGACGAAGAAGCATGCCCTGACTTTTACTTTCCCAACCTCGATAAACACATTCGAGGCTGTCCCATAGAACACGGCCTTGCAGCTTGCCCCATGTAGAATGCCGCAGTCAGATCGGTCTATATCCAATCCGAACCTGATGGCATCTGCCTTCCGGGTTTCCGCCCCTGTGTCCGTCATCGCTGCACACTTGGAGCCCTTCACTACCGAATCCACTGTGCCGCAGGCCACACACTTCCAGTCCATCTTCGTGCCTGACTCTGCCCACTCCGCCTCCTTGGGCAGGATCGTACCCAGATGGACGTTGGGTACCAGACACCGCGACAACCTCCCCTTCAATCCATCACGGAGCTTAGGGGCTGACGCCAAGATTTCCTTCAGGGTCATGAGGTCGTTATGCCCCTCTAACAACCTGTCGATCACCTTCTCTACGTCAAACCCTTCTTCCAGTCGAACTGCATATTTCTTCTTTTTAGGCGGCACATCGGGCAAGACCGGCTCAGCTCCTTCCCTGGCCTCTCTTTTCTTAGCCCTTTGCTCTGCTCTCTTATCCTCTTCCTGGCGCAACTTCTTATCTTCTTCCTCCTCGTCGTCATCATCCTCCACTTCCACTGCCTCTTTTCTTCCCCCCGGCTCAGGCTCTCTTCGGGGAGGTTCCTTGCTAGCACAGGCCTTGGCCTGACTTCGCGTTCGCGCTGCCTGTGCCAGCCGGGTCTGCGGGGTAAGAGGTCCCATCATCATCCCCGTTCGCGGGCCTGACCCCACTACATTTACTCCGGGTCGCCCGGGCGCTGACTCCGGGTCGGAGTCATCAAGGAACACCTTGGGGACGTTAGACCCCCATTCCCTTATTCCCTCACAGAGGTCCACCAACTTCTGTTGGTACCTCCCCATCTTGCTCAAAAGGTCCTCTATTTTCCCCAGCAAGGCGGACGGAGGTTTCATCTTTTCTTCCTTATCCTCGTCGTCCGACTCGATGATTATGGGCTCTTCCCTCTTACCTCCTTCTCGTAGCCCCTGAGTTACTTCCTCATCACTCCCCACTTCCTCTACCCCAATTGGTGGTCCTTCCTTCTCCTGCCATAACTTGAATGTGGCAAGGGGTGGTGGTCCGACTGCCGCCCTTCGTTGGGCCTCCGCTCTCACTCCGACAAGCTTCCTGTCAATAAAATCTCCAAACTGGTCATAGATGTTTTCATCCATGGTGGAGAAAATCAGCCCGTTCTTCTCATCCTCCCGCCTTATGTTACAGAACCTAATAGTGTGGCCTTGCTGGTCACAATGTTGGCAGATAGCCGACCTCTAGTCAAAGCGGGCTCTTCCGTACCCCTGACCTCCTTGATCCCCCTGGCCTTGGTTCCCCTGGCCTTGGCTATTCCATTGTCCTCCTCGACCGCCGCCATTCCTTCCTCGCCCCCTTCCACCACCCCTTTCTCCATTACCTTGATTGCCCTGACCCTGGTTCCCACCTCCAGCCACACTTCCTTGCGAACTAGGAGCGGGTGATGGCGGCGGGGCCATAAGCTGGGCCTGGGCTGCAGGATAGATAGGGGGCGGCATACTCGTCTGCGGCCCAGCATAGGGTACTACCTGTCCAAAAGGCGTCGGCCCTCCCCAAGGCACATAGGTGTTGATCACGGGCCATGACCACTGCCCGAAAGGTGGTACTGGCGCCTGCGAAGGGCCTGCACTACTCGAAGGTGCCGACGCATTGGGGAACGCAGCTACCACCGCTTGGGGCATCTGGCCCTTTCCCTAACCTTGCCCCCCTTCCGTCAGATTGCGCTGCTTACGGTGCACCTTCGAGAGGTGCGGAGGCACCGTCTCCTCTTCTTCCCACCCTTCCTCTTATTCCCACCCTTCCTGGGCAGCCTCCTCTATCACGGCCTCTTTGGCCCTTCCTTGAATTGCCGTTGCCACCTTTCTTTGTATCACCGGGTCTAACTCTGTTAATATGTCGGTGATAATCTTTCTTACCTCTGGAATCCCGGATGCCGTAGCATCCCTCTCCTTTCTCTTCTGTCTTTGTAGCCGTACCTGGTGCTGCTCCACCTAGTCTAGGCTCCCATCCTCCACCCCTTTGTCAATGGTGGCCCAGGTGAGCTTAGCACTCCCTCCTCCATGACTCGTCGATTCTTGGGCCTCTGATGAAGTAAGCAATCCTAAAAAAATGGCACACTGCGTCTCCTCAGAGATTCCATGGACCTTCCTTGCTCTCTTCTTGAATTCTTGTACAAAGGCCCATATCGTAGTGAAGTTATCTTTGTTCATTGCCTCCAGGTCTGCCGTAGTTAGCAGGCCATCGCCCAGCCTGTACTTCCTTTGCATTCCCTCTTTGAACCTGACCCAATTGCCGTTGGCGTCGTTGACCACCCTCTGCACCTCCTGATGGTGCCCATACAACACATATCCCATGATCCGCTGGAATTTCACCGCATCCGCTAGTCCCACCAATGCTTGTTCCACCCGATCCAGCCAGTCAAAGACTCTTTCTCCATTGAAATGAAAAGTGTCGACCTTAGGGACATTGCTTGGGGTCTTCTTATGCCGGTCAATGGCCGCAATAAGGTCCTCGAGCGTTAGGACGTTCCTGGTGCCATCCGATACACCGCTGCTCTCCGGCATCTTGACAGACTTTTCTCTTCAAGCTCCCTATAAGAAGAAAAACAAGGACACAAACCTATTCAGCATCCTATCTCAAAAGGGTCTATCCTGTATGCCCTCTCTAACTTCCTCATATACTTACCTGACGCGGATACGACGATCCCTCGTAGCTTTTCTAGCTCAGGTAGGTAAGAAGGACGGACATACATAGTCACTAAGCCTTTCTCACCTATACTTAGTCACTCATTATTTTCCCTACCCTCTCGTCATCCCTTTATGCCTATTCCCATTCAATTTCGTACCCGGATGTCGTTCCACAAGGGACAACGGTAGGCTTCCGTTATCCCCGCCAACGACGCCACATGTCGAGCGCATCGGTCCGGCACCGCATGAAGACGCGCGGGACCCTCCCGACTGCGTCACGCAGGAGTTGATTTACACCCTTCGTTGCAAAATATATATGTGGAGCTTCCGCAAGCCGCTCCGGCCGAGTGCGTCAGCCATACCTCTCGCGAGCCCCTACAACAGGATAGGGCCTACGCGAGGCACAACTTACCTCCACCTTACGGGAGTTGTCACCTCCCTTCGGTGGGCGTATCCCCACCGAGCTACCAGTCCACAGTACGAAAGCTAATCAGTTGCAATCGCAGAGGTGGACCAGCCGAGGGCGTTTCTCGTTCGCTGTAGCATAGGGGGTACGCGCGGTAATACGTCTCTATCGGACCCTCACGCGAACCGACATCTTGGGGGGCTGAAGTCCCAAGCGAGGCCCGTCGTCGGTCGACTAGGACGCATCCCATACACCACGCGCACACCACTCCAACAAAACACAAAGATAAAACATACACACGCACACATACGAAACGACACAACACAAACGACGCGACAACGCTCCTAGCCCCTCGGTAGCCGTCCCATAACTTTCTGATGCAGAAATCGGATAGGCGTGGCAAGCGAGACTTAGTACAAAACCGCGCGGACGCAGGGCCTACTCACATCGACTAGCAATGCAAACGTACGCAAGCAGTCGCAATGATGGCGTACCATATAGTACCCATACTCATACGGTCCTCGTTAATCTCGAGGGTCGCATTCGACACTCAAGTGTCGGCTGACACGCGCCTTGAGGGTTAATTTCTCGACGCTGGACAACCTCCAAGCGCGGTTGAAGACCACACACCCTCTTCTACACTCTGTGCAGAGCGGGTGGTACACAGGTCCATACCTGTGGTGGCAGTCGTTTCTTACAGCCACTGAGATGAGCCCCTCTCCTGGCCTGGATACAGGTCAAGGGGTTTGACTTTAACGGCTGCCACGGACTACAACGTCCAACTATAAATCTTAAAAAGCATAAATAGACCGAGGGTCCCCTCTATCCCAAAAGAAAAAAAAAACTTGGGGTACCCTCCCTTTTTCGGGTGGTGTCAGCGACCTATAGTTATCCCAAGCATTCGCGCGTATGTGCGGGTCCCTCCGATCCCATAACTTTTAGGCGCTAGGGCGGCGAAACATCGCGCGCGGGATTTTAATATATAGCCGCGCATCTGCAGGCCAGCCTCATACCAACCAACAATGCCAACCATACGTGGTAATCTCAGTTCCGCCCTCTCGATATTGAATGGTTGAAGGAATATATCGTGAGAGGTTACCCCACACGATATTGAACGGCAGAAGGACATGCCGTTCGGCCCTCACGACATTTCCGCCTTAAGGGTGGGGTGCCTCAACGGGCAATGCAAATAGGATCTGCGTGAGGGGGAATCCCTCCCCTTCAGAGCCTAGGGCTAGGGATGTCCTTGACAAGGACCTTGAATCCCGGCCCAGGACCAACGTCCGACTAAGAAAACCCCCAAGAAGCAAAACAAATAAAAGGAAGGGTCTTCCCTATGCCTCTCAGTCTTAACCTCTGAGTAGGCTTTTAGTACGGTGTGGGGAAACCCGGGGAGGTGGACGCCTGTCGCTCGCTGAAGCCAAGGGCAACAACGTCTGTCACCCGCTGCGCCCGCTTCGGAGGTCCTCAGCGATCGACAGGGAGTGGGATTCAAACTTGCCTATCAAATTCCCACTTGGAGACTGAGCTCTGAGATCTTTTGCAATCGGACCGATAATGATGATAATAAAATAAAATAAAAAAAATAATAATAAAGTAATAATAACAATAATAATTATACTCCCTCCTATTCCCGTGTCTCTGTACTGCAAACACTAGAAGTGGTTCGAGGACACTATGCCATCCGATTCAAGCTCTAGAGTAGAAACCACTTTCRCTATTCAGCCGCATCGAAGCGACCAAATAGTAGGGCGTCAATAGTTGTTCGAAGATCCCAACGGTCAATATGTCTATCTTGATGTAACCCTGCTGATGAACAGCTAATGCCTGATCTGTCAATAATCAGCCAGTGCATGTTCTGCTAATGAGCACTCAGTGCCTCATCAGCCAATGAGCGACACATAACTGGTCGGTTAATGAGGAATGAGTGTTTGATCCGGTGATGAGCACCAAATGCTTGATCTGCCAGTCAGCAGCCCGTGCTTGATCTGTCAACGAGGAGTGAGTGTTTGATCTATCGTTGAGCAGCTAAATCCTGATCTGCCAGTAAGCAGCCCGTGCTTGATATGTCAATGAGGAATGACTGTTTGACCTGCTGATGAGCAGCCAATGCTTAATCTGCCAGTAAGCAACCCGTGCTTGATCTGCCCATGAGGAATAACTGTTTGACCTGCCGATGAGCAGCCAATGCTTAATCTGCCAGTAAGCAACCCGTGCTTGATCTGCCCATGAGGAGTGACTGTTTGACCTCCCGATGAGCAGCCAAAGCCTGATTCTGCCAATAAGCAGTCAGTGCTTGATCTGCCAATGAGCACTAGGAAACTGATATGGCTATCAACAGCATCGAAGTCACCTAAACTCTCGTGCTTGTGTTTGTCCAATCGTCTTCACATTCCTGATGGATGATCATGACCAGGTGTTTTTCGCTGCTGGTTCACTCGAGAGTTTAGTTCCATAGATCTTCTTTTCTCGGTGGTCTTCCCAAGCCCGTTTGAGTACTCTCTCTCTCTCTCTCTCTCTCTTTCTCTCTCTCTCTCTCTCTCTCTCCCTCTTTCTCTCACTCTAGTAAGCACTCCCTTCTGTTGGTTCGCTGCAGTGATCTGAGTTGGGCTCTCTCTCTCTCTCTCTCTCTCTCTCTCTCTCTCTC